TTTTTGTTTCACAAAATTGCAAGCGACGATCAAAATCGTCTTCGTTGTGTTCTTGTACCAACTGAATTTTGTACGGGTGGAACTTGTGTTTTTTTTTAATATCCTTTGGACACTTGTTCGATTCACGCCGGTCTCATTGGCTAATTTTCTTGTACTCAGCGTACTATCCATGGCAACTTGCAATACGAATACCTCCATAGCTTCATTTACTACAGGATTTTCCATCTGCCTCTTTTTATTCATAAGGGAACCAGTTTCGCGAAATTTTGCTACTAACTCGCGAACAATTTTGCCATAAAGGTGTTTGTCAGGATGGCGTTCGTTGAATATCTGCGCAACCCGATTGTCAGATTCATTATTTTTAAAATAAAGTTCGATTATTTCCACTGTTTGTGCAAGTGAGTACACCATAATTATTAAAAAGTTTAACGATATTGAGAAGAACTTCAACGCATAAGTCACTGAACAGCTATCTAGCAACTACCGCACCTGATCGTTCAACCTTGTGGCAAGTGAAAAAATGCGTAAACATCTAGAAATAATAAGAAAAAACAGCAAATTGGTCGAAGGAATTTATCCTTATTATTTACTCTGATAAATGTTTAAATAAACTTTTCAAATTTCAATATCTTCTCAATGACTCTACCGATTTTCAAAAACGAAGCGGGAAAGTATAGAGAATAGAAAGCCCTTTTCATTGCGGTACCACTTGACCACCCTTCCCATTTGAAAAAAATTGGGGGATGACACCCCCGCTTAGAGGGTTGAAGATTTTACAATCATTTTTGGGCCAAACGTTGTCCCCCTCATAAACAAAATTGACATGTTTTTGAATTTTCTGAAAAAAAAAATTACCCTGGCCGTTATGCCTAGCGGAACGTTTTCGATGGGCCACCCTGTATTCTTAATTTATTGTAAGTACAATAAGAATAAATAAGTCACTTAAAACAAAACCGTTTATTTTCAGAATAACTAAAAAAATAAACATAAAAGCATAGAGAACATAAAAACACAACTTATATTAAATTAAATTTTGTGGTACTTTGTACAGGATGGCCCATTTTCGCGTGTTCTACAGGGTGTCTCGTTCGGTTCACATTACTATGCTACTTTTGAAACTAAAAATGGTGCACACATATTTGCCCTAGCCCCCTTAGTTCCTGAAATACAGGGCAAAATTGAAATTGTTGCATTTTTCGACTTCCCTCGTACCCTTTCAAAATCTCAGTAATTATAACTTATCGGAAAGGTCAAGATCGAGCTCCATAGAGATTTTCAAGTAAAATTCAGTGGCACAACTAAAACCAAGATACGAATAGGGTCGAAAAATGCCAATACCAAACCAAACATTTTAAAATTCGCCTTGAATTTGAGGAACTAAGAAGACTAGATGTGTACTGTACTTCTTCTTCTTCATGTGCCTTCTCCTCATCGGATGTTGGCGATCATCAATTGGAATTCCTCCCTGTCTTGAGCCAAACGGATAATTGAATTGGCCTCTCCTATATTAAACCACAGACGCAAATTCCGCAACCAGGAAAACCGTTTTCGCCCGATGCCTCGTCGTCCTTCAATCTTTCCCTCAACGATCAGCTGTAGGAAACTATATTTGTTATTCCTAAAAATATGCTGCTTTCCGTCGTTTTATTGTAGTCAATAGTTTTTGGTCCTTACACATTCTTTCTAATACTTCGAGATTTGTTATTCTTTCGGTCCAGGATATTTTCAACAACCACATCTCAAATGAATCCAAGCGTGACATAGTCCGTGCCTTCAACGTCCATCCCTCGACTCCGTATAACAATATAGACAGTACATAGCATTTGGTAGCTCGCCATCGAGTAGTCAGATTCAGGTCTCGGTTGCAGAGTAGGGTTTTTCTTCATCAGGATCCCATTTATCATTCAGCCAGCCACCCAGGTACTTAAATCTTCATACCCTTTCTATATTTTGATCTTCTACTTGTATCCTGATATTTTCAATATTTAGTATGCTGATAATCATAAATTTTGTTTTGTTTGTCATTATTTTAAGACCATGAATCTGACTAATACTGCTAACTCTGTCCACCAGGCACTGCAAATCTTTCTCATTGCTAGCTAGGAGCACTGTATCGTCAGCATATCGGATGTTAGTAATAGGTTTACCATTCACCTTTATTCCCACTTCTAAATTTTCCAACGCCTCCTGGAATATCGATTCAGAGTATAAATTAAACAGAAGTGGCGATAATATACATCCTTGTCTGACGCCTTTAAGAATTTCTATATCCGTTGTTGACATATTTCCGATTTTTATATAAACTGATTGCAGTTTCTAATGATTCTGATGTCTTTGCGATCTAACCCAATCTACTGGAGTAAATCTATCAGCTTGTCGTTATCAAATGCCTTCTCATAATCTATGAAACATGCGAAATCTGCACTTGTCTGCTGATCGAGGCATTTTTGGATTAAAACCTGTATTGAGAACAGAGCATCTCTGGTTCCCAGTCCACTTCTAAAGCCGAATTGAGTTTCACTTATATTTTCGTCAATCCTTCTCCATAGTCTAGAGTGCAGAACACACAGAAACACTTTTAATATATGACACATAAGGCTTATCAGACGATACTCGTTGCATCTTTTGGAGTTTGTATTTTTAGGGAGGTTACAAAAATTTAAATCACAAATCATTTTGACGAAGATTTAAATCTTAATTCTTAAAACAACTATCGAAAAATGACTTAAAATCAAATGACTTAAGTTATTAAAATAATTTAAATCAAAAAAAGACTGATCTCAGCTCTGATCTGGATAAGCAAAAACGTTTATATTTTGTTTATAAATTATTGTCGAGGGGTGTCTCTGTTGGAATTACATTTATATTTTCTTAGCAGTTGCTGGCATCAGTCGATTATAATAAATATATAGCTGACATAGGCAGTCGCTTGGCAGTAAACTTATATTTTGGCAACGCATGTACATTTTTTATCCAAGTGAGATACCCCTCGAAAGTTGGAGCTTTTAATTTAGATTATTTTTTTACCTGAAAATTTTAACAAAGACAAGGTGCCAAAAATGTTGCAAATTATGTAGGTGATGGTCGATATCGAGGTCAATATTACTCTGACGATATTTATCGTCTTTGTCTTCTGTCCTTGAGGATTCAAATTCCAAGATAAAAATGTCTAAAACAATATAAATATATTATTTATCTCTTTTTACATCAAACTTGACGTGTCTTCTATCTATACAGAATGACCCGGGATGCATATTTGTAAACGACGTCCATGATCGCGATTCGGTTCTAGGCCGAACGATACCGCGTAAACAGCATAAAATATCGCAAATCCGTCTGGTAAATAGCATCCGTGATGCCAGATTTTAACTGCCTTAATACCTCTTAAAAACACCATACGATATCGAAATGTAATAATGGGTTGCTCGTAATCAGCATTCAGGATCGCAAATTTTGTTTGTCAACGCAAATTAAACGAGCTAAAAATAAAAAAAGGTTTTTTTTCTCAATTGGCCACCCCCTTCCAATAATAATTTCGATGATCGTATTAAAAAATACACGTTAACGTGCTGTTATTCATAAAAATTTCTATTATTATAGGGGACTATAAAGTAAACCCTAAAATCGTGTCGAGAAATCAACAGAAAATAGATTCCCAGATGACACTATTTTATGTTCATCCAACTTACATGCGTATGCAAATTACTTAAAACAAAATAGAGATATAACATATTTTCCATAGAACTCAATATAAATGTCTAATACCTACCTCTTTTAGATTTAGAATTTAGAATGTGTAGGAGGGGGGTTAATCACTTCGACCTTACAGATCCATTGTGTCCCCCTTTCTTGAATCATAACTCATCATACAGTCCCAGGGCTTTGACAAAAGCCAGTATCTGGGACGGTTTTATAGAGGGTAGTTCTCCATCTCCAATATCAGTCGTACCAAAATTCATGGCACGAATGGTTGTCGTCTCGGCGCACTCAGTGATGAGGTGTACTGGTGTTTCACCATCTTCCCCACAGAATCTGCATTCGCCGTTTCTTCTTAGTTTCAATCTACTGAGGTGTTCATTGATGAGACAGTGTCCTGTTAAAAACCCCGTGACAATCCGAAGATTGTTCTTACTCGACCCAGGAAGATCTGTGATTTTCTTGATCATAAGCCCTCAGAAACTTCTTCGAGTGTCCTAGACCATTGCAAGATTTCCATTCCAGGTTGCGGATGGAATCTTCCAAGTTCTTGAGTTCCGCCTTGAGTTGGTTACCACTTGGAAAGCAGAACGGTTCTGGTCCAGTTAGTGGAGAATACCTACCTCACTTTTCTTAAAAGAAAAGATGTGTCCTATATATATATATATATATATATATAACTATAAAAAATATTCAAGAAGGAACTAAGTTACAATCTCCTTGATCTTCTTGTACTAGAAAAAGTCAAATTTTTACCTACAAAGAAACTACACAAAGTGTAGTTTTTATTTTAAATTTTCGAAGTAATTTGGGATGGATCAATGAAATATGGAAATTTGGAATATTCTGTAACTTTATTCATTTCAGCCATTTTTGGTTTCATTTATAATCTGTTTTTTTTTAAGTTAATTTGTTTTGAGTAATTACTCTTGTACGAGCAACCAATCAACAAATTTCGCGATATTGTCTGCTGTTTATAAGAGGAGTTAAGGCAATTAAAATTTGGAATCAGGGATGCTATTTACTAGGCGGAATTGCGATATCGTATGCTGTTAACGCGGCATCGTTCGGCCTGGAACCGAATTGCGATCACGGACGTTGTTTAAAAATATGCTCCCCGAATTGTCTTTGCGAGAGAAAAAACTTTTTTATTATTGACATTTTGAGATAAACGGGCACGGAGAGCCAAACCCCAAACGTGAAAGTGTATACCCTCGTAGGAGGTAGATGTCCACTCCTCGGAGGAAGAGCATCTGTTGTCAGAGAAGGATGGGAAATACCCTGTCACCCCTACAACAAGAAAATCAAGGAAGGGGGGCACAGTAGATCTTTAAGTTCGCGATGATTCTCGAGCATATGTTCTCAGGTAACGTTCTCCAGAAATAAACTGTCGTGAATTTTACTATTACTACCTGTAGCCATTGGTAAATACAACCTCCACCATACACGTTCCCGGCACCCAGCATGTGAACCCACATCAAATTCGTTTCTTGGAAACTTGCTACCAACACCAGGCCGAAGCAAGAAGCAAAGCCGAACCAAAGAGATGTCTTGTTCAGTTTTAAAATTGAAGTTTTCGTTTTTTCCGGCAGGTTCTCGCAAAATATTTGGACTTGTTTGAACCGTACACAATAGAGAACGCCCACTGAAACATAAATTATAAATTTATTTTATTCATTCCTTGTCATAACATATTTTTTTTAACATATTTGGTGAGAAAAAATCTCCATATACAGGGTGGTCCGAACTGTATTCCGGAAACATCGGTAGCATATTCTGCAGATAAAAATTCGTATAAATGTATGTTCTAGAAAGCTTAGTTTTGAAGATACAAGGTATAGAAATTTCATATTTATTTCAATTTTTGCCAAATAATTTCTGAAGTAACGTCAATATTTGTATTTAAAATTGGTGTCTGGGAGTTTTTTTGACATGAGAAATTTGATTTTGATGTCAATATGACTCCTATTTGTTGGGGGCGCTACCTACATGTGTTTCTTTGAATAAGAAGACTGAGGAAGGAGCATAATGCTATGCATGTATTCATGCATGGTGGGCGGAAAAGCCACCATAAAAGCTCTCTAGGGTGGGGATCCTTGACAGTTCTGTTTGACGATTCATTTGACACATTTGAATTTGATTTGAAATTTTGTGGATTTGTCAGTCTTTACGGAGCTTATTTTATGTTATTTATTATTTATTCTACTACTGATAGTTGTATAAAGATAGTAAATCTAGATGGAAATTGTGGCAGAACTTAAATTAACAGTGACACTATCGCGATTTATCGAAAAAGACTCTAAAATAGTTGGTTGTGTAGCGTGCGGTAGATCTCGGCAAAAATTGAGTGAAATAATGGAACACCTTTTCGCTAGTAAGTGCCTATATAATATACATACGTGTAGTAAACCGATCATTTATGAAATTCACTTAAATTAACTAAATTATATATTTTTCTTGCATTTTAGCTTTTATTTATTACTTGTCAAAGATTAGATGTCAAAGAATTTAGATACGTTAATTTGACTTACCTGCTTCAGTAGCGTATCGGATGTTTGTGTTAATAAATACTTATTATAACTTATCTATTTTTATTAGAATTATATATTTTTATAACAATTTTAATAACTACCAACATTTATTCACAACGTAAAATAAAACAACAAATTATTGAGTCTACCTCACGTCTACCCTACATCATAGTTTTACATTTTTTAAATAAAATTAGAACGACACTGATAAACCGGAATTTAAGTCGGCCATATTTGAGGCCCATCGCGGTGTACCTAAGATTTTTGATATGCTCCTTCCTTAGTCTTCTTATTCAAAAGTTTTAACTGTTTTGAAGAGTAATAACTTTTCGTCCGTACCTGTATAAAACCACCGAGTGAAAAAATATACATTTCCGTGATCTTTTACGTAAAAAATGTCTCTTGGTAAAAATCGCCACGAGCAACCGTTCTGAACATATTTAGAATGGAAATAGTCAATGCATGTCATTATTGACAAAAAATAAACACGCCGAGTAGATAGTTATTTGACCGAAATGATAAATATGAGAACTTTTTATTTTTTAAATTAGTCATAAATTTTTCTTCGAAAAAATGATGATAAAACAGTTTCTGTTGAACTTTTGACACAAAAACATTTCAAATTGATTCCAGTCTCATAACTATTTTGTAAACATGTTTAATTTATGTCATTGACGACAGGTATATTGATAATTTGAATTCAAAATATCTTGAGAACCATTACTCGCAGCGACTTTTACCAAGAGACTTTTTCTAAGTAAAAAACGTCGTAAATGTATATTTTTTTACTCAGTAGTTTTATACAGGTACGGACGAAAAGTTATTTCTCTGCAAACCAGTTAAAAAAATGTTGCTGGCGCTCTTTGCAAGTAGGAATTATATTGACATCAAAATCGAATTTCTCTTGTCAGAATATTCCCAGACACCAATTTTTATTCAAATATTAACATTACTTCAGGAATTATTTGAAAAAAATTGAAATAAAAATGAAACTTCTACACCTTATATCTCCAAAACTAAGCATTTTAGGACATACATGTATAAAAACTTTTTTAATTATTTTTATCTGCAGAATATGCTACGGAAGTTTCTGGCATTCAGTTCGGACCACCCTGTATAAAAGATTCGATATTTCTCTATTCCTATATTTAAAAATAGTATGTTGTGTTGTAACTAAATAGTTATTAATTTTTATAAATAGAATGCTATACAGGGTGAGCCTCTAAATAAGTGCAAATATTTTCAGGGCTGGTAGATCGCGACAAAAGAAACATATTTTCTTTTTACCGTTTTTCAAATAAGTCCAAAATAACCCAGTTATTTTATTTCGAAAATTTCCAAAAAAATAGTTTTTTTGCTTAAATTTTGAAAACCACTAGATCTTTTCTGTTTTTTTTTTCTTGTAAATTTAATCTACTACTTATGTTTCCATATTATCAAGAAATTATGTTTTTTTAACTAAAAACTAAAAAAATCCAATTTTTTTTCCAGAAAATTCCAAATTTTTTCGGGAAAAAACTATATAATGGTATTTCTGGGGTGGAAGTATACTACCCCTAAAAATATTTGCAGTTATTTAAGACTCACTCTGTATATTATATTTAAAAAAAAATAAAAAATCTCCATTTTTTTAATGTAAAATTTATTCTCTTGAATGTGTTTAATCTAGTCTTAATTTAAGCTGATATGTTAGCACTTTTAAGTAGTGGAAATCGTATTTTGTATCCTGGGAAAACAGTGCAAGTTTTTCTGTTTTTTTGTTAAAAAATACCTATCAATAATCGTATGTAGCAACAATTTATATGATTAAGAGAAAATTTAAAACTTTAATTACATATGGCTTACTTATTATCGAAAATATGAAAAGCATCAAAGAAAATATACAGCTTTCTGGTGGCCATGTGCCTGTGTCACTGATATATGGAAAAACTGGCTTTACATGTTGACTAGCAGTTGACATTGTATACCTAAGAAACCAAAATTCATATTACATCATACAATATTAAATTTTCTAATATAATAATAATAATATATGGAAATCAGCTAAAGTTCTACCGGTTCATAAAAAGGATGACCTCCAGAGAGTTGACAATTATCGGCCTATTTCCATACTCTGTAATTTTTCCAAGTTGTTTGAAATTATCGTTTAAGTCCTTGTTCTCGCAGTGTAGTTCCAGAATATCTAATGACCAACATGGTTTCTATTCTAAAAGATCATGTATTACTAATCTCTGTGCCTTGTCACACTTTCAGATCACTAGTTCAGTTCTTGATGAAAGGGGTCAGGTTGATGTGGTGTATACTGACTTCAGCAAAGCATTTGATCAAATCGATCATCAGATCTTGCTAGCGAAGTTAAGTGGTCAATTCAATTTTTCTGACAGACTGACAGCACTCATGTCCTCATATCTCATTGATCGTCTTCAGTTTGTTGAGGTCGAGGGTTACCGCTCGGACACATTTACTCCAACTTCCAGGAGTTCCCCAGGGAGTCCAATCTCGGCCCACTACTATTCAATTTATTCATAAATGACCTCTTAACAAAGCATTTCCAGCTTAAAACTTGGCTTATGCCGATGATCTGAAGATCTACTGGCAGATTGACGGGCATGAGGACTGTCTTTCTGCTTGCAAAGCAATATTGATAGAATTAACTTTGAAGTGGTGTACTCAGAATCAGTTGAACCTCAACGTCTCGAAATGCTGTGTCATGTCATATCATAGAACCCAGGTTCCCGTGCAGTTCGATTACAGTATTGCCAACATATACTGTCTAGAAGGACAACGTTTAGGGATCTGGGTGTCGTATTTGACGACCGACTAACCTTTATAAGTCATATTGATCAAATTGTTGCGAGTTCGTCAAGACTTCTTGGCTTTATTATTCGTAACTGTAAACTCTTCGTAGGTTCTGAACCTCTCAAGCTGCTCTATTTTTCGTTGGTCAGGTCAAGGCTGGAGTATGGATCTTTGGTATGGTGTCCAATCTATGAGTGTCATGTTGAATCCCTTGAATCAGTACAGAGGCGTTTCTTAAAGCAACTGGTGTTCAGGGAGGAGGGGGTTTACCCTGTTAGAGGTGTGGATCACATTGAGCTGTTGTCTCGGTTCGATGTGCAACCACTTTCCTTGAGAAGGATCATTCACTCAGTAACTTTCCTGTGGAAACTGCTGAATGGTCTTATAGATTCCCCAACTCTTTTGGAAACGATACCATTCCGGGTGCCACGACCTGCCTCCAGAGCGAATACCACTTTTGCGCTTCCTCGAGCCAGAACTAACGTTAGGTTTCAGGATCCGATTTTCACCATGTGTAGCAACCTTAACTCTGTCTCCGTTGACTGTGATGTGTTTGACTGCTCTGTGGGTCATTTGGTCTCACTGGTGGGTGGGGGGCATTAATGGTTAACTATTGTTTATAATAGTAATTTATAATTAATGATTTGTTATTGTTGTTATTATTATGATTGATTAATTTAGGTTTAGTTTTCTCTTTTTGTATTTTTTTTCTTGGTTTTTGTAAATTTGATATTTAATGTTTAGTAACAACCTATTGTTTAGATTGTATTTCCTGTAAGTGGGATCTAATTGCCTGTTGGAAATAAAGGCTATTATTATAATAAAAACAGATATTAAAACTTAATAAACTATTAAGTTCAATGTTATTTTTCGTTCGTTTAAATTAAAAAAAAACAAAAATGACAACAAATTTTTACAAAAAAAATCCAAATTGTAATGCAACACTAGGTATAATTTAAGTTATGAGTTTCTAATTATTTGTTTTATTAACATTACATTATAAAGCACAACCTAATGAACATTGAATAAACATAGTTAAATTAATTCATACAAATTCTGACAGTGATACTTTACGTATGCGGTATTGGTATACGATATGTCCCCGGATTGTCTTTACAAGTGGAAAATCTTTTTTATTATTGACATTTAGAGGAAAATGTATTGTTCATAAAAATATTTGCTTGTTCTCTAATGGTTTCTGCCTAATCTCTTTTATACTTTTCCAAATTTCCGTACAGTTTTAGAGAAAATTAGTAAAAAAATGAAATAATGGTTGAATTTTTTAAAGTCCTAAAAATCGAAAGGCGTTTCTACGGTAATATAATTTCGTTTTCATTCTTTAATAGATTGTTAATTATTGTGTTATGGATAGAATTTTAAGCTTTTTTAGAATATTTTGCTGTTTTAAAATGTTGACGCAACTTGTTACAACAACTGTTAATTTAAGTTCTGCCACAATTTCCATCTAGATTTACTACCTTTATACAACTATCAGTAGTAGAATAAATAATAAATAACGTAAAATCAGCTCCGTAAAGACTGGCAAATCCACAAAATTTCAAATCAAATTCAAATGTGTCAAATGAATCGTCAAACAGAACTGTCAAGGATTCCCACCCTAGAGAGCTTTTATGGTGCCTTTTCCGCCCACCATGCATGAATATATGGATAGCATTATGCTCCTTCCTTAGTCTTCTTATTCAAAGGTTGACAAGCACAAAATTTATTTTTTTCCATAGCAACTGTTAAAAATATAATGTAAATCTTTTATTTTTGCCATCATTTAAGTACCTATTTACTATATTTACTCCATTTACAAAACTTTGTGCGTATTACGCGTTGGTCTTGTTTTATTATAATAAACGATGTTTAAATATTTGACTTATAAATAAAAACTTTAAATAATAAATCATATTTCACGTTTGGCTTTAATTTTATTTAATAATTGTATAAATTATAAAATCAATTAAACATCAAATAATTGTATAAATTATACTGTTAAATCTTATTTTTTACACATCACAACGATACTTGTCATTAGTATTGTTGAATTTGTGTAAAAAATAAGATGTAATAATCAAATTTAATTATTTTAGAGTAAAATTCAATAAATACGCTCATTTAAAAAGCCCGCGCTTCGATCCATTTAAAACAAGCCCTACTCAATAGATGGCGCCACTTCTGTAGGACCATTTTTCAGTATGGCAGAGTCCATTCTTTTTCTAGCTAGGTATATTCTTTGCCCAGCGCCTTCGCCTTTTCTGCTGTAAATGTTTTTTATGTTTATATTTGAATTCAAAGGATTTATTTTTAAAGTTACACTGATATATTAGTATATCAGAGTAACTTTGATAAAACATAAGATTATATATATTTTAAAATTTATTTTTGTATTTATTTTACGGAGTTTCATGTAAGTCGACTGGCTGTCTAATGAATAGACCGAGATTTATAGATTTTAAAGCGAACGAAAAAAAAACTAACAACGAATACATACCATATATTTTTCTTTTATCTAAGATACATACCTTATCGTGTTTTGGAAACACGTACATTTTTGTAGTTTTGTTAGTTTCTTTGCAAGATGCAACACAACAAGAAAACACTATTTTTACAGTTAATAAATAATGAAATTATTTCTGACTATGATATTTAAAATTTAGATAGATAGAAAATTAAAAAACAAACCAGTATTTGCAAACGCAGGCCCAAATTCAATAAAAATCAAAATTTTTCCTGCGAAAATCAGGCTTTTTTCACTGAAAAGGTATTTTTTGATTAATTAGCAGTCATTGTCAAGTTGACAATATACAGGGTGTTTTCAATTGAATCTAAAAATTATAGTGTGATTCCTCATGTGTTCTGAGAAACAATTTTTATATAACCATTAGGGTCTAAAGTACTTCCTTTCTGATCTACAGGGTGTTAAAAATTAAATCGATTTTTTGCTTAACATAAATGGTACACCACTGCTTTTTTTAAGAAAATATATTTTTTCTTGACTGGCCATCCATTTTCAACAAAATTGATCTTTTGTGTTTTTCTTGTTCATCAAACGGTTGTCGAGAAAAAAAATATATACTTATTAAGAGCCCGCCTTAATTCGTTTTCTAACGATTTTTTATTTTTTAGATTAATTAGGAAACACCCTGTATATGCATATCACAGGCAACCAAATAAACTAGTAACCTCTAAAAATTATTTTTCCTACCATTAGCGACATACCGTGTTTTTAGTGTGTACTAAATTATTTAATCACCATATAGGTTTCCAGGCAATGCTTATATCTATCAAAAATAGTAGCATGGCTGGGAAACTTAAATGGAAATTACAATTCATTAAAAATAGTTTTTCCTCCAAGATGCAGAGGCGCAAAATATTAAAACTGTCAATCAACAATGCAAATGTCAAAATCTGACAATAATAAAATTTGATTTTTAACTGACACGAGACACTCAGAGACGCTTTTGTTATGATTTTACGGTTTGATTTCGTTTTGATTTGTCGAATTATTGTAAAATTAAATTCCTTTAAAAGCACACAAAGTATTCTTACATGTATGTCTAAATTTATTTTAAATTAATTAAAACAACCCCCCTTTCCCGCACCCCTTTCTTCCCTAAGTATTTCTTCCTCCGACTACCAGGGGCGCCCTTGTATAATAAAATTGAAATGTATTATAAGTTGCCTATCTTTTTGATATTATAAGTCGTTTATCTATGAATAGTAGATAAAATAGTACTTTAACCGCAAGGGTAGATTAAATGATACTTTAACAGCCAGGATAAGTTAAAAACTTTATTTCTTCTTGCACGTTTTTTAATTGCTTCCATTTTTGAAAATGTTTGTATTCCTTTTCATAAGTTATTCGGGATTTAAATGGAAGTACCTAGTTTGGATATGGCGTTTGTCGCCTCAGCCTGAATATCTGTCGGTAATTTACTTATTTCGTTTTGAGCCATTTCTGGCTCGAATTCAATCAGCAATCGACACGAAAGAGAATTAAACAATATTGACTCAAAACTGACAACTAAAAAGACAGCTTTATTTATTTGTCAAATTACATAGAAACCAATGCCAACCCAGCACAATATTTTTTCTACTCGTAATAAATTCCTTGAAATAATAATTTCTGAATATTTTTTAAAACGTAACTCGCTATGGAAAAAAATATTGTTTTATACACGACGATAAAATTGCATTATCGTCTCCCGAATCTTTTCGGTCGATGATAAAATACCATGCATTTTATCGTCTTTTATAAAAATAATTATAGTTCAATGCTATGGAAAGGGTAATAACAATTATTGGAAAATATGATCCTTTAAAAACAGTAGAAAATATGGCCTTAATCAAAATTAGCCATCTGTCAAAGAATTAAATCGATATTTTATTGCCAGAGAAAACGCCTTTTGATGATTAGGACTTTGAAAAATTCAATTATATTTTCATGTTTTTTCTAATAAGTAATCTCTAAAACGGTATGGAAATTTAGAAAATTATAAACGAGATTAACCATTTTAGAACATGCAAAGAGTCTTATGAAGAATGCTTTTTTTCTCAAAATACCCATAATAATATTTTTCTCATTTAAAGACAATCCAGAGACATACTGTATATTATATTTTATTATGACAATACTTACGTTATTAGAACAGTTATTAGCAAACCAATGGTTAGAATATAAGGAAACAAATATAAATATTTAAATCCCATCGATTTTTGTTGGTTTCGCAGCATTATTTAAACTAGAGCAATTATTGCTTCGAACGTACTAAAATATAATGATAGACAATATTACAAACCGGCGTTGTTCTGGTACGGACAAAGTAATACTGAAGGAAAATTATTGACTAGAAAATTCACTGTTCCAAATGCCATAATTAAGAATCAATGTTTATCACTAATATCTTCAATATTCTCCTTCTATTTTTAAGCAAAGACTTTTTTAGTACGACATTATATACCTTTACCATTATATGACAATGGATATTTATCTTTAATTTTCAATATAATCTACCTCAATATCATGAACCATCATTATGGAAGTAGGTATCTAATAAATAATTCAAAAATTGGCAACTTAATTACGATTAACTTACGTTAATTAATAAATATTGAACTATATATATTTCATTAATTTATTAATTAACAAGGTTAAAGTAATATCAAATTCTATTTTATTAAAGTTAATATTTTTTCTTAAATTTCAAAGTGTTCTCATTAACAAGAAAAAAAGGTATGTTAAAATAAGTATATTTTTATACAGGGTTATTCACCTCATATGACATGGAGTAGTGTAGCCAGACCAAATGCCAGACGATTAGCTTTTTAGAAATTATTGTGAGTAGCGGAATCGTTGGAGGACTACTAAAGCTACAATTTAAAATTAATTTCGAAAGGTACAGAGTGTCCCAAATAAATAAAAATATCAAAGTTGTATTTTTAAATGGAACACCTTTTTTAAATGGAACATATATTACATTTTTAGTTTCTACAATTAAAATAAAGATCTTGATCAATGTTTACCGCACTTTTGTCGTACCGTTTTTTGAAATATTTACGATTTTGTGAAAATATACAGTAACAGTTTTAATGCTTTATTTTTCTAGACGTATATTTATGTTTTTAAAATCAAATATTGTACTGAAGTTTTTATTTTTACTAAATTTTGTGTAGCAATAATAAAAATAATTCAACCTTATACAGAGCGTCTAAAAATTTATTTTAAATAATTACTTTTATTTATTTTTTTCAAAACTTTAAACGGCAATAACTTGTTTAATTTAAATGGAACACCCTCTCTATTTTACTAGAATGAGATGCACAATTTAATTGCCTCTCAAATTTAATTATACCATTCTTTACCTATCCCTTCAAGTTTTCGTAAAAAATGCATTTTCTTATAATTTAGACGTCATTTATCAATGTACCCATGGAACATTGACATTTTAGATTATTTTTAAAGATGTAACAAATTTTCGAAGAGTATATAGATACTAATATTGTCTCTATAGTTCGCTTATTTCATTAAAAGTAATAAAAAAAATGTTTAAGTATTTGTAAAAGGGGAACAATTTATAAAAAATGTCTATACCTGCCCACTGCAAGAAAATCTACAAAATAAAATAGTTATTTGCCACCTATATAACTACTGACAAGTAGTTTCCGTTGGATTATAACGCCAGCAGTGTTTACAAAAAATAACTATTTTATTTTGTAGATTTTCTTGCAGTGTCGAAATACCCATATATCTTTTAATTTTGGAGAGGACCAATTAATATGATTCCAGTATTCGAACTACATTAATTGACTGTTTGCGTTGATTAATAATTTTATTCCAAATTCTAAAAAAACTGAATTTTGAATGTGTATTACACAAAATGTAGTAAAAAATAACACCTTATTAATTTTATTTCACTTTTTGACGAATGCTTATTTATAACACCGATGTTCATATTCATATAGCTTATTATTATGTTGATTTCTGATTCAAATCCACATTTATTTAGAACAATTTAATTAACTAACGCAATTAAGTATGTAATTAATTAATATTCGGGCGGAAATAATAGCGGTATATTTAATTGGTTACTCTTTTACAAAGATTTAAATAATTTTATTTTTGTATACAAATGGGGTAGTAATATTATCGGTTTTAGAACCTGTATATTTTGTACATTTGTTGCTTGATAAATGAGGTCTAAATTATATAAAAATGCATTTTCTACGAAAACTTGAAGAGATAGGTAAAAAATTGTACAATACAATTTGATAGACAATTAAATTATGCATCTAATTTACATAAAATATACAGGGAGTTCCATTTAAATTAAACAAGTTATTGCCGTTTAAAGCTAGTAATTATTTTTTAATATAAATTTTTAGATACTCTCTACAAAGTAGCATTATTTTTATGAGTACTACATAAAATTTAGTAAATAGAAAAACGTCAGTACAATATTTGGTTTTAAAAACTTAAATACGTCTAGAGAAATGAAGCATTAAAATTGATAGGTACAACATTTTCACAAAATGGTAAATATTTCAAAAACGGTAAGATTAAAGTGCGGTAAACCTTAATCAAATTTACCTTTATTTTAATTGTAAAAACTAAAAATGTAATAATATACAGGGTGTTCCAATTAAAAAAATACAACTTTGATATTTTTTCTTTATTTGGAACACTCTATACCTTTTGAAAATAATTTTAAATTGTAGCTTTAATAGTCCTCCAACGATCCCATTACTCACAATTTCTAAAAATCTATTCATATGGCTACAATATTCCGTGTCGTATGAGGTGAATAACCCTGTATATGAATGACTATATTGTTTCTAATTATTTTACATATAGATATGTATTCATTATTTTACATATAGATATGTATTCATAGAATACATTCAGATGTGTATGATTAAAAAGAATGACACATGTATCACAATAGAGATGCCTAATCTTGATTAATAAAAACTGATATTTTCAAAATAAAAAATCTATGTAGGTATTTTGGATTAAAACTATTTTTACAATTTTTTTTTACAAATTTTTTTTTTTTTTTTTTATTTTAATATACTTAAAAATCTTAACTTAGGGAATGGCTGTGTTGGATGGCCTCTGTTGACTATCTTTGCAAATATCTCTTTTTGCTTTAAAAAAGTCTTTATACAGTATGTTTGATGGGGCAATCTTTCAGCTGTGACAAATTACTAATTGTGCAACTGCCATACGTGAGTTAAAATTTTAGTATTTATATCTTTGCAAAGGAAAACTTACTTAGGGTCCTTTTTTCCAATGCCTTTGCATGTATGAGGTTTATTACAGTATTCTGATTTCTTGGGAGTGCTTTGGTTAAAGCTTCCTGAAGTGCTGCTTCAGCTTCTTCATATTTCCCTTGTCCCAGAAAAGTTACAGCTTGACCATTCAGTAAAAGAGGCGTTGAACCATATTTATCAACCAGTTCCTGATAGATATAATAGGCATCTTGTAGTTTTTCACCTCCCTATAAACAAAAGTTTATTAATTTTATACAATAAATAAAATGTATTCCATGACTATGAACCCAAGCTTGTGCCAGTTGAGTTAAAATAGCATCATCGTCTTTTTCTTGCTTTCTTTCAGTTTTTTCACGCAATCGATCCTGTCAACTTTGTAAACAGATTTTTTCCATTTTCAGCAATTCCAGCTTTTCTGGATGTAATATATTGGCCACATCAAATTGCCTTTCGTTTGATAATGGTTCCAGCAACGATAACCAACGTTTCGTTATGAGCGGTCGTGTCAATTTTCTGGTTTAGTTGATCCAGTAGTGTCGATTTGTTCGATTTTCCATGCAGATATTCGGCAAGAATCTTTCAAAGGTTATTTTTGAGGGTTGGCATAGATTGTTTCATCAAACTTAAAGAACTTATTCTGAGCGATGACATAAGGACGATAGTATATATCTCGCTGAATGCTATCTCGGGAGACTGATGCTAAAAAAAAGTTAGGCGGTTAGATGCGTTCAGAACGAATAATGATCTAGAATTCGTACCTTTCGTATTTTGGCAGCCTCGTTAATGCACTGCTGATAATTTCCAATGTAAAAATGAAATTTTACATCAAAGAGTCGTCTATTTCTTGGTGTGGTTGGCATTTCATCCTATTTTAAAATATTTACGTTGGCCCAAAAATAAGTCAAAAGGATGAAAGTTGCGTTTGGAGTTAGAATAATTTTAATGACACTTGCTGCATCAAGCAAGACAAACTCCCACTTTCAAGATTGTCATTTTTATATGATTTAATATATTTTAAATTAACAGTAAATATACTATATTAACGGTTATTATTACTACTAGTACTCTTAGAAAGCTCTAGTGAGAATTCAAATATTTTAGAACAATTAGTTTTTGTTAAACAATGTATAATTAGTAAATTCTAATGATTTCCATGGGGTCTTTAATTAGAGTCACAATTGCAAAATACAAAGGTGTAGTCAGTGGCAAACCATTTAGTTCAGTTCATAACTCACCTGTGACTGATCACTAGGAAACAATGAATAAATAAAAATAAAGAAAGTTGACAGAATATATTTTTTAGGTTATGGATTTATTTTAAACTTTAGTTTAATTTTAATTTATATTACTAAAACCAGCAGTTCCAAAAATATATTTAAAATAATAATTAATAACATGGATTTGGACGATAATGGTAAGAATACTAAATTTATTTCTATATTCGGTATAAAATTGTTTATTAGGTTTTAGTTTGCGATGTTTATGGTAAGTAATTTTCATGTTCATTGCCTCTGAATTCACGAGGACAGAGATGAGGATATCTATGGAAAAGTAACCACAAGAGGAATTATTGTCATTTAAAAAATGTTGGAAAGTTTATTGTTTCCCATCGAACAGTAAAAAAATACAGGTGAATGTATTAATTATTGATAGAATTAAATTCAAAGATTTATAATTAGTAAACCTGTGCTTCTTTTTATATGTAGATGTTTCAGGTTTTGAAAATAAATGATTGAAACGAAACCCAAATTTAAGGAATTAACATCAAGCATTCTATGAAACAATTTCTATTAATTGACGAATTATTCAGTAAATTAACTTTTTTGTGACTGAAATATTAAATAGTTTTAATATAGTTACATATCTTTAAAAATATATATTTTACTTTATAAAATAAAAAAAAAAAAAAAAAAAAAAAAAAAAAAAAACATTATTTTATATTAAATGGTTTTTTTTTTTTTTTTTTTTTTTTTTTTTTAATTAAAAATATCAGAATAAATAGTTCTTTTTTTATACTGCAAAAATGACTATAGAATACAACAGTATTTAAAAAATTAATAAAAGTGATGTCCCAGCCGAGATTCAGAACTCCGGTCTCTGTACCTAAACTGACTCTTATCCATTAACCTTAATTTATTATAAACACAAGCAGGTTTATAACAATATCTTGACGATTTGAACTGGCGCGCGGAGCGTGCTGACCAATAACGCCTGTTATCACCTGTGACGTAGCGACCAACCTGCGCAATATCATACCTTGTATTCTTTGTACCATGGTCTACGCTTCATATTCATTTTCTAACCTAAGATATTTACAGTGTAAAGTGCTTGTTTTTTTATTTGTATAAACATTTTATAAAGTTTTAAAATTGTTATTCCTTACTATTTATTTGAAAATTAGTTTATAATATTATTTTTTTTTTATTTTTTGTATTAAAAGTTTAAGAATAAAATCATTAATAATAAGTAAAGGTAAAAAATCTAGACAACTCCCGTCATAATTAGTTGAATAACCTTAATTTCTGTCTTAATAACATTTAAATTTTTTACCCAAAAACAAAGCAGGGCATGTTACGAGACCATCTAAAAATTATTTTTAATGTGACCAGAACTTTTTTATCACTATACATTATTCTAATATCTAGTATAACTTTTTGGTAAGAGACCCTTATCAGTTTTATGCATCTTATGCAAGTTAATCATTGCTTAGTTTGCTAATTCTAATTTGCTTATCAATGACATTATTTTTTCAGTTATTGGCTTATTTATGGAAAGAGTATGACTGGAGATATAGAAATAAGTGTAAAGAGAAAACAGAGAATCGAAAATAATAAAAAAAGAAAAAATGGCTGCATTATTTAGATATAGTTAAACTTAATGAATACGATAGACAGAAAAACAAAACAATAAAACTGAATATACAGGTAACAGGAATATTGTGTGCACGATAAACACCGAGGGTATAACAGAAATTGATCCTTCCCCTAAGAAAAAACTCAAAACTGAGGAAATAGAGTTGGGTCCTTCAGGAAAACCAAAATTACAAGGCATAGAACTTGCAGAACTTAAAAAAATGCTTAGGGAGAAAACTTCCAAAATTAGACAGGTGTGAATAATATATAAAATAAAATTTTGTATAAAAAGAATTTTTATGGCCCAAGCTTTATCTAAGGGATGTTGGTAAAAATGCCAGTCTAGCCGTTGATTTAGAAAGCAGATGTCCCTTGTTTTTATCAGATATTCAGCATTTAATTATGTATTCTCAAGTGGGAGTGCATTCACCATATTCACCAGCCAGGTATTGCGTGATAATTTAAATTGATACAATTATACAAGTATTTGTGTTTTAGATGGTGTGGTTTAGAGAAGTACAATAAATTAATGAATGTAACAATGTTAATCATTGAGAAATATATCTTTTATATCATTATGAAACTTCCAAAGTCAATTTACATGAAACTTAATTTTACCATAAAATTGAGGTGGTTAGTCCTCATTCTTACAATGATGACATTGTACAAGAATTGTCTATGGTTCCCCTATCAGGTACTTAGTTTATAGAAATCTTGTTTTTAATTTTTTATTGTTTTTGTTCAGCCACTCAAATGCGTAAATTGGTAACTGAATATGGAACATTAGAAGAAGCTACAAAACTATGTGGCGAAGTATTCAACACTGTAAATAATTTTGCTCTATTGATTCGGATGATCAAAGCACAAAGGCCCAAATTGATGGTTTACCATCGTCAGACAAATTTCCAAGGTTGTATTTTATCTATTGTTCTTTATTTTGTTTTAATTATATATTTTAGAACGCATTTATTGTTATCTGGCTGGCAAATGATTGAAGAAAATTTTCCTTTGCCCATTAAAGGTTTGGCAGAAAGAAAATATTCTGGTTATAGACTGACAAAAAGAAATATAAACATGTTAGTCCTCATAGTCCACTGATAGCTATCGATTGTGAAATGTGTAAAACTGAAACAGGTATGTACATACGTTTTTTTTTTTTTTTTTTTTGTTTTTGGATTTTTCTATTGACAAAATGGTGAAAGAGTTTTTATTAAAAAAAAAACTGTAAATGGATTTATTAATGGCCTGAGCGATTTGGAATTAACCAGGGTATCAGTTGTCAACGAAAAACACGAGGTCATATACGATAGTCTAGTAAAGCCGGAAAACAAGATCGTTGATTATTTAACGAGGTTTTCTGGTATAAATTCAAAAATGTTGAGAAATGTAACGAAAAAATTGAGGGACGTGCAAGATGAGTTAAGTGAACTGATACCGGACGATGCTATTTTGGTTGGACAGTCTTTGTCTAACGATTTACATGCCTTAAAAATGATGCATCCATATGTTATTGATACAAGGTGAGAATTTTGAATTTTTGTCTTGATAAAATGGTGAATGCGCCTGCAAATTATTTTTATATGAGGGGTATTCACCTCATTCGACACGAGTATTGTAGCCAAATGATTGGATTTTTAGAAATTGTGAGTGATGGGGGACTACTAAAGCTACAATTCAAATTATTTTCAAAACGTACAGAATGTCCCAAATAAAGAAAAAACTATCAAAGTTTTAGTTTTTAAATATCACCCTGTATATTATTAGATTTTTAGTTTCACGATTAAAATAAAGGTGAATTTGATTAAGGGTTACGGTTTACCGCGTTTACCAAAACGTTTTAAATATTTATGATTTTGTGTTACAATAACAATTTTAATGCTTTATTTCTCTAGGCATATTTGAGTTTTAAAACCAAATATTGTACTGGAGTTTTTCTGTTTGCTAAATTTTGTGTAAAAATTTCATTATAATTACTAGCTTTAAATGGCAATAGCATTAATTTAAATGGAACACCCTCTATATTTACATCAATCAGATGCCCAATTTAATTATCTATGAAATTATATTATACCATTTTACCTATCTTGTAGAGTTTTCTTGAAAATGCATTTTTTATAATTTATTTATCATCAATATACCCATGGAATGTGTGTTGGAGCTCAATTTTTGTCAAAAACATGATGGTGAAAACCGCATATCGATGTCTGTTACCGTTTGGAGTTACGGTGTTCTAAAATATGCATTTTTAATAAATCGCTAATAACTTTTGCTATGGAAAATTTTGTATTTTTATGAAAACATTTCCTAAGCACCTTTTACGTAAATTTAATGGTTTAAGTATAATTCTTTTTAAAATTAATAATTTAGGAGTTATCAACAGAAAATTTGATTTTTTATATAATTGCCCCTGTATATTTACAATTTATTGATAATAATTTAAAATTACCTTTCAAAAATAACACACTTGATATTTTGCTTTCGATTCCTCTTTGAGATATAGAGTATATAAAAAATTCGCCAGCTTTAAATAAAGTAGGCTTGACAGCACCGGCACAATGCAAAAAAATTCAGCTATGAGCATCAGTTAAAACAATAATATTTCTGTAGAGAGATACAGAATTTTATAACAATTTCATCTATTTAACCAACATCAACACATTTAAACTATATCTAATAACAATAAAATAAATAGCAAACAAAGCTTTTATGAGATTTTGCTACAGGAGTTCGACATATCGACCGTCTTTTGTTATGGACAGACGGGGCAGTTTTTAAACATTTCTCGCGGAATTCAATAACTCAGTGGGGGTGAAAGATATCCTGTCATAACTGCTAAGTATTTCTAATTCTTGTCTAGATTATACAGAAGAATAAGGAACCTTTGTTGTTCCTCAAATATATCCGTAGGATTAGATCCATTGGCACTAAATCAGGCGGCCTCGACGGCCAACGTCTGAGATCTTGGTTAGCTATTCAATTATTCTTGAAATTGGCTGCAAAAATTTGCTGTTAACTTCAGCGTTCCAAGGCGGTGCGTCGTCTTGCTGGAAAAATATGTTTTTGAGTTCCGTTAGGGGCAGATCATCAACGAGGGGTCCAAAGCCTACTAGTTAAAAGTGGCGAACTTTAAAATTCTGTATTCGAAGGGGATTATAACAAATATCAAGTGTGCTCTTCTGGAAGGCGAAGCCCCAATAGTTTATTATTATTTTTTTTATTATGGTTTAAATTCTTTTCAGTTAATTAAAAATATAGAGGGTGTCAATCAATACATTTTGGTAACTCTTAGGGTAATAATTTTAAAAATTATACCGATAAATTCTACGTAAAAGGTGCTGAAATGTTTTTCATAAATACAAAATTTTCCATATTAAAAGTTACAACATTTGTTAAAATAAATATTTTGAAAAAACTTTACCAGTAACTCCAAACAGCTAACAATGTTGATGCGGTTTCACTCATCATGTTCTGATAGTGAGCTCCAGTACCGATATTAGTTTTCGTTTTCATCTCATCTCTTATGAAAGGATGTTTCCATTTAAAAGCGTCGAATTTGACCCACCCTGTACAGGTGCTAAAACGATAATATTACTAGCCCCCTTGTTTATAAACAGAAAACTATTTAAATGTTTGTAAAAGGGTATACTAATTAAATACACCACCATTATTTCCTCCCAAATATTAATTAATTACATACTTAATTGTGTTAGTTAATAAAATTATTCTAAGTAAATGTGAATTTGAAAAGAATTTCAGAAATCAATATAATAGCCAAGTTATGAATAATGAACGATATCTGTTATAAGTTATAAATAAGCGATGAAGAGATAGGTAAAAAATGGTATAATACAATTAAATTTTTTTTTTTTTTTTTTTGCAAAATATACAGGATGTTCCATTTAAATTAAACAAGTAATTGCCGTTTAAACTAGTAATATTCAAAAATTTCATTTTTTGGACTCTGTATAGGTAGTATTATTTTGATTATTGACACAAAATTTAGTAAATACAAAATTTCAGGACAGTATTTGGTTTTAAAAACTTAAATTCGTCTAGAGAAATGAAGCATTAAAATTTTACTGTTCACAAAATCGTAAATATTTAAAAAACATTAAGATTAAAAAACAGTAGAAACTGTAATTAAATCTACCTTTATTTTAATTGTAGAAACTAGAAATGTAATAATATACAGGGGTATATTATTTAGGTGTATAAGTTTTCCATTTAAAAAAATATAACTTGAATGTTTTTTATTTATTTAGGACACTCTGTATCTCATGAAATAATTTTAAATTGTAGTTTTAAGTAGTCCTCCAAGGATCCCATCACTCATATTTCTAAAATCAATTATTTGGCACAATATATAGAATGAGGTGAATAACTTTGTATATGAAATATTTGGGAAAGTATATAAAAAATTATGTTTTCAGTGTGATCTATAACATAACCGGCGACAGAATCAGAAAAACGAAACTGCAAACCTTGGCTAGAGAATTCCTAGACGAGAAAATCCAGGCTGGCCACCAAGGCCATTGCAGTTCCGAAGACAGTTTGGCTTGTATGAAACTAGCCCAATTAAAGCTTGGAAAACACTTATTTTTCGGCGACGCGGTCATGAGTTCGGTCCGTAGCCGACAGAGGGCCTATCCAGACATGGGAACCGCCAATTATGCAACCAGCATGCTAAAACAGTGCACCAAAAGCGGAAATACCGCTAATATCGTTGCCGTGGACGATATAGCTAATAAATATCGATATTATATCGATAAGGACACTTCGAAACCGTTGAAAAACATTAATTGCACGAGGAAGGATTCGAATAAACAGGTGGTGGAACATTTGTGCTCCACGATCAACGAGCATCAATTAAACATCGCTCATTTGAGGATCGCCAGTGACAAGATTGACGAGAGCAGCTCGAACAAGGAGAAAATATTTAAAACCATCCGATAAGTGAATTGTCCAAAGTGCACTCTGCG